CAAGAACCACGGGGGGATTCAACTCAGCCTAGAGACTCCCTACAATAAAACAGCACCCCCACCCTGCACCCTGAGTCTCACCTCCCTGGGATTTGCAATTCTTGTTCCTTATTTTTAATAAATAAAACATTAAGCTTCCCAGTGGTGTGGCTTTTGTTTGTGAAAGAAACCAAACATTTTCACTCCTTTCTCCGAGCGACTGAAGCATCTCCATGCAGCAGAGCAAACCATGGTGGGACTATATTCAAGGACAACATGGAGAAAAGGGCACAGACAAACTGCCTGCCAGGCTATTCATGTTTGAGTTTATTATAGCTTTATTTAATGAATCCATCGCAGTAAATATGTGTATAGTAAAAAAGATATATAAAATATGTTTATATATATATATATATATATATATATATATATATATATATATATATATATATATAACAGATATAAATAGATGTGTTTATTATGTCCTGTCCTGTCTGGATGTGATGAATTTTAATGTACGCTTTTTAATACAGGTTTTTCATACGCAAACCAAACAAATTTCTTTGGCTCCTTCTGTCCTTTCGGAAAGTCATAGAGTTTACAGTAGTCATCAAGTCATTAAAATGATCTAGGCCTTGGGATAACTAAAACAACCATTAATTAAAGATGTATTTATGTTAATTATATTTATTTATGTTGAACATTAATCTGATCTCAATTTTGAAACATTATTTCCCTTCCCCTCCCTCTAAGTATGTCAATAAACGTTAACAATATATTTACTAGTAATAATTAGCAATCAATACCTGAAGTACCACTGGCCAAGAACAGTTAGTGAGTAAATGTGATTCTTCCCTTTTTGGTCAAAGCTTAGTTTAAAGAAATGTGTTTTAATTCTTGACATAATGTCTGCCAGGAAATTAAGTGTATTACATTTGAACAGCACTACTTCTGCAACCCCTCTCAGAATATGGAAAGCCATAAAATGACTGAATAAAATTCTCAACCTATAGAAAGTACTTGAAAGTGATTACTGATGAGATAAAAAGTATGTAAAATAATTAATATCCAAATCAACAATAATGAATCATTAAAAAATTGGCAGTTAAAAATTCCTTCAATGCTCCTGTATCTACACTGGCTTTACCCACATATAACACACATGCAGGGAGCATAGTGGGGTGCTTTTCTTTTGTCTTTTGTCGCTGCCATTGTTGAAGACCATGCTGGAGAAAGTTAGCTCTTGCGATGCAGATTGAAAATTTTTCATATTTATCCACCTGGTCAGCAATTTTTTTTGCAAAATGTCTTCAAGGCTGGAAAAAAATGTTATATTAATGATATCTTTGTACAATTTGTGTTATTTTTTTAAAAAAGAAACTTTTATTATTAAACATTCAGCTAATTAATTGACTTCACACCTTCAAGCCACTTCTTGTCTCACATCTGAGCTGCCTGCTTTTGCTGTCAGCCTGCTTAATAATATAATAAATAATTTAGTCCATACTTTTAATCAATTATTTCTTCAATAAACTAAGGCAAAGCTGAAAAGCAGTTGTTGAATATATGTATAATTAAGAAAATTTAAGGTTCAAACTGGAAAAAAAACATTTTCCTGCTGTGATTATGAAGCGAGCAGAAATTTCAGAATCGAGCGAAAAGTGAAACGTGAGCTGCGATAAGCGAGCGCACTAACCCGGTGTGCTGCGTCTGAAGCGCGCAGTTCTTGTTTCTGTGCTCTCGGTGTCGCTCTTTTCGATTGGTTTTCTTAATTTTGCACGCTCCCTTGCATAGAAAGACTTGAGAGTGGCTAATAAATGATGTGTAGCAACAGATGAGTGGATCTTCATTATACACACAAATAAACATTCAATAAATATTAAAGATTGTTTTATAAATTGTAGTGTTTACTTTTGTTAATCCCAATGTCTGATCAATATATAGCAATAATCAGTCAATACATACATATATATATATATATATATATATATATATATATCAATGTTCACTATACATCTATATCTATCTATCTATATATCTATAATGTTAGGCAAACATAAATTAATGTTACTATGTTTATGGTTTATGTGTGGTAATAATAACAATAATCATAATAATATATCTTTATTTATATATCACATTTCATTTTAGTTACAAAACCTCAAAGTGCAAAATAAATCAAATATTGGAAAGGTAAAATATCAAAGTCTAAATAAAATAATAGCACAATTACCAACAATACAAAAACAGCAGCAATACTCTAGGCATATGCTGGCTTAAACTGAGTTTTTAATTTGCAGTTAAAACACTTATTAAGCCTCCATTCTTAATATTCTCTGGAATGCTATTCCATAATTTAGGAACAATGTGGCTCATTCACCAAACATTCTTAAGAAGAAATTTCTTCCTAAAACCCACTTACTCGGTTTTCATTAAGATTCTGACATTCACCAATATTTTCTTATTTGGGATTTTTCTTAGGTAAGAACAGAATCTATGCACACTCAAAAGCACAAAGGTGCGCACAATTCTGCGGTTTAATAACATGTCATGAGTCTGCCCTTTTCTTAGGACCTTCCTCAAGAACAAATTTAAGAAAAACTTAGGAAGATATTGGTAAGTGAAGCCCTATATTAGTAAAGGATCCTCCACCAACTAGAAGTTATGAAATATTTTGCAGCATCTTGATGGGTCAGCATGTGTTCTGTTTTGGATATGCTTCTCAAGTGATAGAACGCAATCTTTAAGAGGTTACTGGGGCTCAAATGATAAAAAAAGCATCCAGGATTACACCAACATTCATTGTAGATTTTAATTGCAAAGCCAAATTGGTTATCTCACTCAGTAGCAGTACATGGGCTTTCTATCTGCCAATCCGCCATCCAGAAAGCTTCATCTCCACCCTTGGTTTCACATAGTCCATTTCCTGTATTTGACAGAGACCTGGACCAGTCCTTTGCCTTTGTCCTCTCTCACTTACCACAAAGGACCAGGAAGGAGGAGGAGGATGGGTTCCCCTTTTGAGTCTAGGTTCCTCTCAAGGTTTCTTCCGATTGCTCTTAGGTAGTTTTTCCTTGCCACTGTCGCCATTGGCTTGCTCATGGGGGCTTGAACCCGGATTTTTCTGTAAAGCTGCTTTGTGACAACACCTATTGTAAAAAGCACTATATAAATAAACTTTGACTTGACAGCATCTACATCGCAAGAGACAGTAGGTTTGTGTCCTATCCAGTCAGTGAAGCTACACATGTTTATATGTATTACTTACAATGCTAAATAGTGCCAAATTCATAAAAATCTTCTTTGGATACTATTTTCCTTACCTCACTTACCCTGCAAGTATTTCAGAGCCCACCAGTGCTATACTCATGACTTTTCAGTCATGACAGAATAGAATAGTCTCTACAGGATGCAGAAAAGCATTTATTACCACAAGGAGTGCCCTGCTATCTGGATGCTCCAGCAAAACCTTAGCAATCTTCAGTTAGTCCAGAATGCTGCAGCCAGAGTATTTTATACAAAGCCCCCCAGCTTTGGAATAATCTTTCAGTCAGTGTTCGGGACTCAGACACAGTCTTTTAGGTCTAGGCTAAAACCTACTTGTTTGGTCAAGCCTTTGGTAATTAGTTATTCCCATTAGATAAAAAGTGCAGATTTTGGGGGTTTATGGACAGAGAGTATTATGGTAAACTGGGGGTGTTGGTGCTGTCGTCCTGCTGCTCTCACAGATTTACTCAAGTTTGTTGACAGCGGAGGGCCGCTGGACGTCTCAGGGAGCCCTAAAGTCTCTGCTGCACTGTATGCAGTCTCCCTTAACGGAACTCTGTGTTTACTTTGCTGAGCTGCACACCTGCCCATCCTGTGCGGTCTGATGCTGTTGCTTCATCTGCCTTGATCGGGTGCCCACTGCTCGTCTCCTGGACCAGTTTGTACCTTACCTGCATGAATTGGCCCTCCTGATAATGCTGCTGCTGCACAGACTCTCTAATCATAGCCATTGCTTCACCTGCTTTTTCCTTCTTTTCTGTATTTAAATATTTTATACTAACATTAAAACCTTTTCTTTGTTCATATTCCTTTTTTTATTATTATGTCAGCCGGTGTCTACCAGAGGAGGATGGGTTCCTCTTTAGAGTCTTGGTTCCTCTCAAGGTTTCTTACTGTTAAGGTGTTTTTCCTTGCCAATGCCACCATTGGCTCGCTCATGGGGGCTTGGACCTGTTTTTTCTGTAAAGCTGCTTTACAAAGCTGCTACAACGCCTGTTGTAAAAAGCGCTAACTTTGACCTGACACAGTTGGGGTTAGGATTAGGTGGAGTACAGAAATGTGCAGGTCAGGGGTTGGGGACTATTTCTCTTACATAAACCCAGTGACTTTGATACTCCTTTGATATTCCAATGGATTTCATTACTCATTACATTTTTGAACTACAACCACTATATCTGGTATTTTTTTCCTTGACATAGAGCATATGACTGCATTTTATACTGACAGCATTCATCTAAACCTGCTATCTTTTCTTTCATCCCTCCATCTATCACCCTACAATTTTGATATTTCTTACATTTTCAAGCTTGAATCAGCCAGCCACAGGAAAACATACATGTTGATACTTGTCTAATTTTAATTTTAGAGCGTCCAAAACCGGTAAAATATATTCAAATTAAGATCCAAAGCGAATGACTGCATTTTTTTGGACAGCCCTTATTTACTTAACCTTTTTCCTTTGTTTATCATGTTTCCCTTTCATTTATTCCTTCATTATTCAGTGGAAACACATGGATTTTGACACTTAAATTTTAAAGCTGGATTTTTAAAACTTGGTAGAAAGATTCAACTGCTGACCCAGATCATAAGAGAATGCTCCTAACTCAATTCCCTTTATTATTATTTTTTGCTTTATGTTGCTGCGTCAGTTCCCAGTTTAAGCTTCCACGTTGAGTTCATGCTCATCAGGTACACCAAATAAGGATCACAGAGCTTCAAATTCCCAAGTCCAAAAAACACACAGCACAACAGACTGACTGCATTGTGTGATGACTTTATTTTGTGAGGCAGGACAGTACAGATGAATTACTGCTAAAGGCTGCCAATACAAGTGATTTCAGAGATGGTCCACAGCTTCACTCTTCATCAAACCCTTTCTGTATAAACAGAATATTGAGGATAGATCCATTCAGTTGCTAATTACAAAATATTAATATAATTACATAAATTCTGTCTATAGGGTAATTTGTCAGTCAAATATGTCAATAAAAATATGGAGAAAACTGGACTAAAAATACCACAAACATACCTTTGAGCCTGGCTCACGACTCTTTGCACGCATTTTGTTGACCTGGGACTCAGCAATGTCAGCCCTCTCCACAGCTTCATCTAGCTCATGCTGCAATTTGCGGAACTTTCCAAGATGAACATTTGCCTGTTCCTCCTAGGATACAAGGTTCACAATACACTTACTATAGCAAAAGGCACCATTGTAAGGTAAAATTGCGTTTGATTGAGAGTACTTACAGCATCTTCAGCAGATCTCTTGTAGGCCTTAACTTTAAGTTGCAGCTTGTCCACTAAATCTTGAAGACGGGCTATGTTCTTTTGGTCCTCTTCAGTCTATATGTCAAATAATTCAAAAATAAAAAGGATATCAGTATGTTTATATTACTCTAGTCTATTGGTAGCCTTTTAAGAAAAAAGTCTGTTATTTAATAGATTTTAACAGTGTAACAGATTATAGTCAAACCTGGTAGGAAAGCTCTTTAATGCGACGTTCATATTTGCGAATTCCCTTCACAGATTCACCACTTCTCTTCTGCTCTGCTTCAAGTTCACTCTCCAGCTCTCTTACCTGACCGAAATTAGATGAAATTATGCTTGCACAGAACATTAAACTTCTGTATAGAGAATTCAGAGAATATAGTTCAACTTCAATCATTCATGTCTCATTCAGCTCTCATGAAATTAAACACCACCTCTCACCTTATAAATTACATTGTAGCAACCCAAGAACTTGTCAAGCCTCTCCCCCAAGCCCCCCTCTAATATCACACTGAGTACATAGTTACTGTTATCCAATTACCATGCTACAATACTGCTAATTTCCTCTATGGGATTTGCAATGCCACGTTAGTGCCGAAGTAACGTTGATGTACATTTATATTCCCACACTGAGTTAACTACTTATAACATTTTTAGCTTTATCACATTTAAAGCTTGTAAGGCATACATAAAATTTAAGGAATGCATTATACATTTTTCATCAATTAAAAAAAAAATTATTAATAATATTGTAAATCCATTTTCTATTTGTTATAGATTGGAATTCATCAGCATGTTCAGGTGGTTACGATTAAATCAGTTTCCCCAAATTTATAAACACTGCATTTTAGTAGAAGTGTCTTAATGTTCAAGTAAACTCTAAAATTATGGAAAGGTCATTGTGTAAGCAAGTCTGGGCTAAACAAACTGCCTTCTTCAGACTGTAGTCACTGATTCACTCAGAAATTTCTGTATCACACATTACTGCTGAAAGGGATACCAATAGTAATGGCAAGCTAGATGGCACTGAGTAAAGGATATGAAACATCTTCCAATGCGGACCAGTAGAGTCATGAATTGATGTTATGTATGACAATGGAATTCACAGGTATTTTGGGAAGTGTTTTAAGTTGTATGCAGCACTTTTGTGTACACCACATCTGGTAAACCTGGCAGTAAATGTGAAAAAAAGCACCTGCAATGTTGCAAATATACATATTTGTGTTTTTTCAATAGCAAAGTACAAAACGCAGGATAAACTGCGTGCCTTTGATGTGTTGTGGGCATCTCTTACAATAAGCACAAATTTACTGCCAAGTTTGCCAATATTGTGTATATCACGTCACATCTGGTAAACTCACACATAATTTGAAATGCTTTCCATTTGAAAACAATTTGTTTACTGTTCAAGTGCAACATCGGAGTGTGTTTTATGGTTACAATGTTGACTACAAATTTGCTGATCAGTATAGTATCTTTGTATTTGTGTATTGAACAGATAAAGGAAAACTGCTGTTAACATTACTTACAAAAAGAACTTTTCCCCCTAAAGCTTAACACTTTTCTTACTTCAACTCCAATGTAGATGATTAATATACTCACCCTGGCCTCCAGCTTCTGCACTTGTTTCTTGCCCCCCTTCATGGCAATTTGTTCTGCTTCATCCAAACGGTGCTGCAGGTCCTTGATCGTTTGCTCCATGTTCTTCTTCATGCGCTCCAAGTGGGCACTGGTATCCTGCTCCTTCTTAAGTTCCTCTGCCATCATGGCAGCATCAGTGATGGCCTTTTTTGCTTTTTCTTCAGCATTTCTGCACTCCTGTATTGCCTCTTCCACTTCAGTCTGAAGTTGGGATATATCAGCTTCTAGTTTCTTCTTTTGGTTCAGTAGGCCTGTATTCTGTAAGTTGAAGGGTCATCAATATGGCTGATATTCCTTTATTGAAGAGAACAAACAAAAAAAACATACATCACCTGGGAATGCAGAAGCTGCACTCTCTCGCTGACATCAAGGAGTTCTTGTTCAGCAAGTTTTCGTCCTCTCTCAGTTTGCTCTAGTACATTTCTGAGCTCCTCAAGTTCTGCCTGCAGCAGAACATTACGTCTCTCTACAATGGCAACATTCTCCTTCAGATCATCACTGGCACGTAGAGAGTCATCCAGCTGAATTTGGCAATCCTAATTAAGGGAGGTTTGTTGTTATGTGCTTGTTATAATACGCATTTACCTATATTTACAAATTTGATCTTTGTTACCTTAAGATTAGAATGGAGGCTCTTCAGTTGTTTTTGGGCCTCTGCAGCTTGTCTGTTGGCTTGACTTAGCTGAATCTCCATCTCATTCAGATCTCCTTCCATCTTCTTCTTTACTCTGAGAGCCTCGTTCCTGTTACGAGTCTCTGCCTCCAAAGATGTTTGCAGGGTGTCAATGGTCCTCATTAAGTTTCTTTTTGACTGTTCCATTTCCTCATCCTTTTCAGTCAGCTTACGTTCAAGATCAGCCTTTATCTGGTTAAATTCCAGCTGGGCTCTTAGGATTTTACTCTCTTCATGCTCTAAAGAGCCCTGCCAGTAAAAGAATAGGCTTTCAGTTGTCATAATGTGGCTGCTTTCTAATCTATTCTTGAATGCTGTCTCGTTCTCTTACCTCTGCCTCCTCGAGGGCAGCTTGGATTTCAGATTTTTCTTGCTCCAGCTGTTTTCTGACCTTCTCTAGTTCATGAACTGTCTTCCCACCTTCACCAAGTTGCTCGGTTAAATCGGTTATTTCCTCTAAGAAAAAAATTGAGACGATGAAGAACATACAATATTACATAACATATATGTCATATTAATGTAGATATAAGGAACATATAATAAGTAATGTAGATATTACACCTTGGAGAATCTTGTTCTCTCTTTTAAGGGTCTCCAAATGATCCAAAGATTCCTCATAAGAGTTCTTCAGCTTGAAAAGTTCAGTGCTCATGGATCTGGCTTCCTTCTGGGAACTTTCTAGCTCACATTGAGACTCCTCATATTTCTGCTTCCAATCAGCAAGGACCTAATAAAACGTTGCCCAATTAATTTTAGATAACAGATTTCAGATAATGGACATGACGTGTATTAGACCACATAGATCACTATAAGATGGTAGATACAGTATCAATCTTAATACTCTAACAGTTAAGATGATATTAACCCTACAATATTTCTGAAAATTGAGTCTATATTAGTAATGGCAGCAATTAATGACATAATTTATTGGCATTACCTTATCAAAGTTTCTTTGTTTTTTGTCCAAGGCTGCAGCAGCTGCATTGGATCGCTCCATATCCACCATGAGATCTTCAATCTCATTCTGAAGCCTGTGTTTTGTCTTCTCAAGAGAAGAACATTTAGCATTGACTGCTTCCACAGCCTCTTCTGCATCCTGCAAACGCTGAGCCAATTTCTTCCTGTATGAAAAGGAAGACGTACATAATAATGTGTAAACATAAAAGGCATTTGTTGTACATTTGAGCAATGAATACTAGTGGTATGGTATATTTTTCAAGAACCTAGAGCTATTGTAATCAACCATGGAAAGGTCCTTAGAGAGGCTGGACAGAGAGATCAGTCCACTGTGAACAGGTCTAATGCTTTAGCTACTACAGCATTCCAAAGAGAAAACAGGTAAGTGCACTTTGAACATTGCATTTCTTATTTATCAAAGTATTTCTGTATAAAGTATCACACTGTACATTAGGTAGTGCTCTAACAGCCTTAGAGTAGCAACCATACATTCAGAACCCAGAGAACCTCTCATACATTATGTATACAAAAGTATAGGGACTCACCTTCTAATTATTAATTTCAGGTGTTTCAGCCATACCCATTGCTAACAAGTGGATAAAATTAAGAATATAGTCTTGCAGTCTCAATAGACAAACACTGGCAGTACAACAGATCATACTGATGAGCTCAGTGACTTTAAATGTGGCAGTGTCATAAGATGCCATATCTGCCAAAAGTCAGTTAGTAAAATTTCTGTCCTGCTAGATCTGCCCCTGTCAACTGTAAGTGCTATTACTGTGAAATGGAAGCACCTAGAGGCAGCAACAGCTTAGCCATGCAGTGGTAAACCAGGCAAACTCACAGAGTGGGGCCAGCGAGTGCTGAAGCACATCCCCTATCCTCTGTTAATTCACTCACTAACGCGTTCCACATTGCTTCTTTAAGCAACATGTGCAAGAACTGTGTATCAGGAGCGATACAAAATAGGTTTCCATGGCTGAGCAGCTACACACAAGCCTAAGATCAAAATGCACAATGCCACATGAAGGTGGGAGTGGTGTAAAGCATGCCGCCACTGGACTCTGGAGCAGTGAAAACGCATTCTGTGGAGTGAAGAATCACACTTCTCTATCTGGTAGCCTGATGGACGAGTCTGGGTTTGTTCCAGCATGACAGTACACAACAAGGTTCATAAAGGCATGGCTGGGTGAGTTTGGAGTGGAAGAACCTGACTGGCTCACACAGAGCCCTGACCTCAACCCCATCCAACACCTTTGGGATGAAGTAGAACGCAGACTGTGAGCCAGGCCCTCTTGTCCAACATCTTAGAAATCTTGTGGAAAGCTTCCCAGAAAAGTGGAAGCTGTTATAGCTGCAAAGCGGGGACCAACTCCATATTATTGCCTATGGATTTAGAATGGGATGTCATAAAAGCTCCTGTGGGTGTAATGTGTATGTGTGCCAGTACTTTTTGCCCATATAGTGTATTAAAGATATACTCATCCAGGATAATACCATCCACCTCAAAAAACACAGCAACGAATAATGCAGGGCAATTTAGTATGAGACACCCCCTGAGATGCCTGTTGAGAGTTTTGGTTATAGGTGATTCTATGAAAAGTTTGTTCTACTAACCTAATCAGTATCAGACTAGTTAAACCAATTTACAATGACAGCACCTTTGGTCTAAAACTAGCACTGCTTAACATAAGATCTCTTACATCTAAGGCTGTCATTGTAAATGAACTTACTACTGATCATGATTTTGCTGCTCTATGCCTCACAGAAATTTGGATTAGATCCGATGAATACTTTGCTCTAAATTAAGCCACCCCCACAGTCTACAATTTTGTGCATAGTCCTTGTTTAAGTGGCCGGGTGGAGGCGTAGCAACCTTTCATACAAATGTTTTTTTGAATTTGTTTCTTTAAATATAAGCGAGAAAATGTAAAGAAAATGCTTTATGAAAAGCTCAATTTACTAAGTTTGTATACCAAACCTGAAGTACAAAACCTGGGTGTAATCTTAGACTCTGAGATACGTTTTATCCCGCATGCAAACACAGTCAGTAAAGCAGCTTTTTATCTTTTGAGAACTATTGCTAAAGTTTGGCTGGTTCTATCTCAGAGCGATGCAGAGAAACTTGTTCATGCATTTGTTACAACCAGTGTTGATTATTGTAATGCTCTTCTTACTGAGCTTCCTAAAAAACAATACATTCTCTACAAATCATACAAGATGCAGCAGCACAGATACTAACAAAAACAAAAAAAGAAGATCATATCATAACCATTTTGAAAGAACTGCCCTGGCTACCTGTGTCTTTCAGGATAAATTCTCCTAATAGTTTTTAAGGCTCTAAACATCACAGAATGTCTGTTTATGTTCCAGCACAAGATCTTAGATCTGGAGATACTGGCCTTCTGTAAACACTTTCCATAAAATACAGAAAACGTGAAAAGGCCTCTTTCAGTTATTATGCTTCTGAACTGTGGAACTCGATTCCACCTTTTGTTAGACCATCAAGCTCAGTGCACACGTCTAACAAACATTTTAAAATGTGTCTGTTTAACTTAGCGTTTAATTAAAATTATATGTCTCTTGGTATTTATCTTTTTAACTTGTTTTGCGTCATTGTCCTATAAGATTTTAAATTAATATTCATTTCTTTCAATACTGATACAAATTTCTTTTATTACTGTTAAGCTTTATCTGCTGTCTATAAGGCACTTCGAGTTGCCACTGGCATGAAAAGAGCTATATAAATAAAGATAATATAATTCCCTAACAACAGGGCCAACGACATGTCGCTCTATATTAGGGGTGTCCAACCTTATACGTAAAGGGCTGTTTCCACTTGTTTAATTAGTTTGTCTTGAACTTCAATTACTGATCATGTGTTCTCCTGCTTTGTTAGAATGAAAACCCGTAGACCCACCGGGCCTTGCAGATAAGACTGGACACTCCTACCCTACATGCATCTGAAAGCGTTATAACCCACCCTGGGGCAACATGGGTCAGGGTGCAGCACTTCATCTGGTGACATTACCTAAGAGGTGACACAAGCATCCACTGCACTGAAGGAAGGTCATATGAAGCGACATCAACCATGGACAGCAGTGTCAGTTCGACTGACTTTGTTTGATTCCACTGTAAGCTTGAGTGAATCCCACCACAAATTCAGACAAATCTGTGTCTAACGCCCATGTTGAAAGCACATCCACATAGCTAGTATGGTGGTTAAGCTCCTTCTCTAACACTGAGCTCGCTCAAGGTGAGGGGAGAGCTGCAATCCTTGTGGTCTGAGCCTACACCAAGATGCTCAGGTTTGGTTAGATGAGGAGCTGTATATTCTAAACATCCAGTAGTCACAAGTGCTAAAAGCTTAGCACTTCATTAATACAAACATATAATATTATATGATCATATTTGTGTGTGTGTATATATATATATATATATATATATATATATATATATATATATATATATACGCATACACACACACATGAAGAACGATGTCTGTCCACATTCATGAGAATCTCCAGTTCACACATTGTCTAGCTGTACCTGTACATTGTGTTGTCTCAATCTCTCCAAACATGCATATTAATCCTCTGGAAACAAATCCATGGAAATACTAGCATACAAACAGTTTAAGATGGACTGTTGCATGCCTTCCAATACAGTCAAGTAAAAAAGTTGGACCAAAGTAACTATTCACACTGCAGTACACCTTAACACTAGAGAGAATTTCCCAAACTATTGTGATGACATTTTTTTTCAATAATTAAGAAGCATTTTCAGTGCAAAGTTTACTTTTTCAAAACTTCTCAGAGCTCTGTCTGCAGTATGTAGCAACATCTCAAAATATATTAATTCCAACAAAACATCAAAAGTAGTGTTCTCACAACAGAAATGCTTAATCAATCACAGCACATTCACCTCAGAAACACTAATAACTGTTGGCACTATGTTACTCTTTTATGTAAATCTATGAAGAGTAAGGAGTTATTTGCCCTGTAGTTTTGTTTCTCACCGTAATTATTCTTAAGCTGATCATGTAAACAACAACAAAAAAGTGGAACAGGGCAGAAGTTATACACGTATGCACTTGCTTATTATTTTCTGGGCCCATAATGGACTGTGTATTGTGAACAAAATAACTCCAGAAGGGCTCATTGTTTTAGAGGTTATGCTCATGCAATCCATCTTGAACTCTTCATCATGCTAACGAATGGATTTATTTTCAGAGAATTACCATGCACATTTGGAGAATATACAGGTACAGCTGGACACTACGTGAACTGGTGATTCAGAGGAGCGCGGACATACATCTTTCTTAATGTATAGAAAAACTAATGTGAACACATATGAACACAATGAAGTCGTTTATTATGAAATTTTCTAAGCTGTCATTATCTGTGACTACTGCTGCCACTGCAAGGTGAGTAATGTGAGAAAAGAAGGTCACAGATGTTTAGAAGCCCACCTTCTGCAATTCTTGGAAATCAGAAAGATAAATATAATTTAGCCATTTCACGTGAAGAAAACACTTCTATAACATATTATGGAAAAATACAGAACTGTTTACTGTAAGCAACACTACAGAACTTTCTGATAAACAATGTTGTATCACTAGTATATCTGTGTGCCTATAGCCGAATATACATTGCAGTGTGTGGTAGAAATCAGGCAGACCAGCATTATTTCTAGCATTATTTAGTGTTTAACTGAGTGTTAGATTCTAACAAGTAATTTGTGGTTCACTCCTGAAAGTTTATTTCACAGATACAGTGATCATGAACACATTATTTTCTTTATTTACTTTAGTGTCAATCATGCTTTATTGTGCTTTTCTGTTTCTAGTTCTATTTTACATAATAGAGTTTGTTTGTTTGTAAGAAAAAGCCATGGCTGTGGGTATCTGACCTAAGACACCAAAAGCTTATTAATTTATAAGCTTTGATCCGATTATAAAGATTCTCTGGATTTACTAAATCTGTGAAAATAGCTCTTTTAGGTTCTAAGTCTTACTTGGCTTCTTCTAGTTCCTCGGTCCTCTGGATGGCATCAGTTTCATACTTGGTTCTCCATAGGGCCACCTCAGCATTAGCCTTAGATAAACTACGCTGCAGTTCTCCTTTGGCCTCTTGTTCCTCCTCATACTGTTCTCTGAGAAGATCTAAATCATGCCGGCAAGATTGCACTGCATGAGCAAGAGCATTCTTGGCCTAAGGAAAAGGAGTACAGAGGTTTAAGGCACTGTTGTTTATCAGTGTTTATTTACATATTCAGGTAAGCATACTGAAAATGAAAAAAAAATTAACCTTTAAGCCAACTGTGTCTAAACACATCGGAATTAGACTTCCGCATTTAACCCATCCGTGCAGTGAAACACCACATACACTCTAGTGAACACATACACACTAGGGGGCAGTGAGCACACTTGCCCGGAGTGGTGGGCAGCCCTATCCACAGCGCCCAGGGAGCAGTTGGGGGTTAGGTGCCTTGCTCAAGGGCACTTCAGTCACGTACTGTCAGCTGAGGGGATCGAACCGGCGACAAGGCTGGTTCCCTAACCTTCAGCCCACGACTGACGCAATAACAATGCGTAATACACTGATCTAACATAATAAAAAGACATTGTCTGGATGGCAGCATATGTTGCCAAAACATGTATATATCGCTCAGCATTAATGGTGCCTTCACAGATGTGCATGTCTGCCTCTCTGGGATGCTCTTTTTATTCACAATCATGTTACTGACCTGTTGCCAATCAACTACCAGGTGTTTTTTTAGCACTACACAACTTTACCAGCCTTTTGTTGCCCTCATCCCAACTTTTTTGGAACATTTTTGGACATATATTTTTCAATAAACAATAAAATTTCTCAGTTTCAAGATCTGATATGTTGTCTTTGTACTATTTTCAATGAAATATAGGGTTTAAATGCTCTGGACATCATTGCATTTTTTTTTATTTACATTTTGCACAAATCCATTTCCTTTTTGGAAATGGGGTTGTATGCCAACTTAATGAATCGATTTGGCAAAAAATCTTTTTTTTTTTTTTTTATAGTATGATAAATTTGCATGTTCAAAATGTGGAATGATTGTTTGAGCACCCCCTATTACCATATGCCCACTAAACTTTGCATCTTGTTTCAATGTTAGGCATGGAGCAGGTGTACCAAGTTTGGTGTCAATTGGACAATACCTTATATTTTCATGACAGTAGTGCCATGATAATATCTAAAACACAGTGTTTGATTACTGGTACAATTTAGTCAAACATGTCTAAGAGCAAAGTGGTTCAGTCTGAAGACTTGAGTACCTTGTCAACATTTGCATTGTCTTTAATGTAAATTGGGTGAGAGATATAGTTATTTTACATAATTAATATATGATTACATGTTGTAGCCCCCCTGGAGGTCAGTGTAGACCACAATTGGCGTGCTTCCTCAAAGTATTATTCTATAGGTTTGTACCAATTTTGGTTTCAATCAGATGATGTATGTGTGAATTACAGATAATAGAGTCGTAAAAATTCCACCCAGATGGATTTATTGACAGGTTGCAGACATGCTTTGTGAAAACGTCAACATTTTTTAAAATAATTATTTACTTTCAGACTCCAATCTTTGGTTTATGACCAGACTTGAGATGATGAGTTGTAAACTGTAGGACTAGTTCACTATAGGACATATTCAAAAAATTTGTATCTGTAGAAAAATGGTAATAATTAGTAAATGACTTGCATTTGCAAAGTTGTCAGGTTCACTTTAGAGCATTATTTTAAACTGCATGTTTATAATCTGTACGGTATAAGACTTTTACTCATTTTAGTTTTTTTAAAACATGAGCAGGGTCCCCCCAGTGGCCAATACCTGTCATGCTTCAAAGGGTAGTAGAGAGTCCATACCTAGAGATAACTAGAGGTCAAGTTTCATGGTGATTGGCCAATTTTAAGGTTGTCAAATACCTGCTAAAATCTCATTGGCCGATGGCAGCCACGTTTTTTCAAAAATGACATCAGTGTCATAAATCCTGATCCAGGACAGCACATTGTAGCACCGCGCCAATTTTCATGTAAACCGGACAACCTTTGGTTGCGTAACACTTTTTTGCTTGTTACAGTGCCACCTAGCGATGCAGTTCCACCAAACGCTGAAGATTGTCTACGACTGCCATAGCGTACACGCCTATGAAGTTTCATAACAATCGGTCAAAGCATTTCTGAGTTAGAGCTATATATGCATGATTTTTTAAATTTGAGCTCCACCCACATTTTCGGGTGGGGCCTGGGTGATACACAGAGATGAAATTCCCACATTTTTTTGATAATTATTAAAGTTCAGCTTCTTAGGATTCCATTGATAACAGATTTGTGTGAATTACCTTAAAATTACCATAAAATCTAAAGAGATTTTTGATATGGGCAAAGTAGCTGTTTTGTGGGCCATTACATAACCAATCAGCTGAAAAAAGAACTTTGTTTCTATGACATACAGTACAGAATCGCCAGCCCTAAATGTGCAAAGCTTTGCTACGGCACCACCATCAGGCCGACTGGGCTGAGCTTGAGCACCTGAGTAGCGGGAGGGACTACTACCTACTGACCAAGTTTCATGTCTGTATGACTCATGGTTTGGTCTGCACGATTCATTTTAGTGCAGAAAAAGAAGAAGAACAAGAAGAAGAATCCTAACAATTACAATAGCACTTCGTGCTTGGACCCCTAATAATACCGTTTATAATAAACCACCGCAACACTGTCAGTTACTTGAAATGAATAAGAAATATGCAAAATTTTACCTTGACTTCTTCTTCAAGCTGCCTTTTCAAATCTTCAAGCTGTTGACTGTAGGAGTGTTTTCCCCTTGTAAGTTGAAAGATTAGGGATTCTTTTTCTTCTATCTGTCTTGAAAGTTCATCTGTGGTATTGAACAAATATATTCACATTTTATTGTTTTATGCTAATGTAACAGACTCAAAATAATAATCACAGAATTCTCAGCCTACCATTCTCAGCCTGAAGCTTTGCCTTCTGAGTTGCAAAATCATTGAGAGACCTTTGGTTTTCCTCACACTTGTTTCGAAATTCATTCAGCTGGTCCTCCAGAGTCCTGCTTACCTTCTCCAGGTTAGTCTATCAAAAGTTAATATTATGACGTGTTAATGGGTTGATTATGACATGGTAATGGGTTATGTGGATATAGTTTGTTTGATTAGGGGTCCAAGTGCAAAGATATTTTCTTTTTCTGTTCTTCTAAGAACTTTATCCCAAACGTAGTCAGTGCCCAAACTTTTATTTAGTGGATAACTACTAACCTGAGATGTTCTCTAGCATATACTTTCGTATGCTCTATTCAGCGGAAAGAAATAGGTTTATCTGTTTGATAAGGGCATTGTTTTCAATTCCTGAAAGCTAACTCTTTACAATAACCAAAAAGGATTTTTTGCACCATGCCACAGAAGAACCGCTTTTAGCTTGCTAAAGAACCTTTCAATGGATAGTTTTTAGTAGACAATTTTTGTAAATAGTAGTTCTTCTATGTTATAACTCAAACCTTTTTTAAAAGAGTGTATATGTGGATGAAATAGACACAGTTCAAATGCAATATATTGTGCTTTTTACACATATTCATATATGTTATAATATATGAATATATGTAAATATATGCATATATTTACAAATGTATTTATTTACAAAGCATGTGGGAAAATCACAACTAGTCGTATACAGATGTTAGCCTACGTGGTACAGCTATGATGATTTGGTAACTCTTCTGCAAAACAGTGACATAACCACGCCATAAACATGTCATGGCAAATGTTATATGCTGTCATGAGCTGTCAGACAGATGCCTAGATATATGTGTTATGTTATTACTGTTATTACTGTTAATTGTCAAATATGTCAATGTTTTATGTCATGACTGCTAATTATTAATGTTATGGCACCAGTAATGACAATTACCAGCAATGGTAGCATGACGCTGATACAGTACTGAACATCATCTATCATGACAATTTAAAACAGCATATGCCACCTGCATTGACATGTTTGGGATAGTTATGTCAGTGTTGTCTTGCAGGGTTCAAGTAAAGTGTTACCAGTGGTTCCTTCTGCGATGTGAAGTCTGTGTTTTTTTAAACACAATATTTACCACTTTGTGATTTTTATCTTAATTCCTGCTAAAAAGTTTAGGGATTTGATTTAAATTATATATTGTTTTTTTCAGCATCACACAAAATGCATCATAACTGTTTTGCACCGGCAATGAAATGTATAGACATTTGTGCACTTTAATGTAAATGCAGGGTTACGGCACCAAGATTTTTCAGTTTATGTCTGTATGCAGCCACCATTGTGCGATGTTACCTCACAATGTCATCTAAACCTTAGTCACGAATCCTGTACTTGAGTGAAAATCGAGATACCCTTGGAAAACTGACATTGACTGTCACTGACATGTGAATTTCAAAATTAATGTTGAATACTGTTTAAGGAAAACTTACTTTGGATTTGACAATCTGTTCCATACTGGAGACCACATCATCCAGTTCCAATTTAAGCTCACTCTTCTCTTTCTCCAGTTTTTGTTTGATTCTCTGAAGATTATCTATCTGCTCTCCCAGTTCAGCCACACTGTCAGCTTGTTTCTTTCTCAATGTGGCAGCTGTGGCTTCATGATGTAGAGTGGCCTCTTCAAGGTCTCTGCGTAGTTTCTGGAACTCAGCCTCCCTTTTTTTGTTCATCTCAATCTGAGCAGCAGTAGCTCCTCCAGCCTCTTCCAGTCTCTCACTTATCTCCTCCAGCTCTCTGGCCAAGTCTGCCCTCTGTTTCTCTACCTTGGCCCTGGCAGCTCTTTCTGCCTCAAGTTCTTCTTCAAGTTCTTCAACTCGTGCCTAACACAAAGCAGAATTTACATAGTGCTCTACAACAATACGCATGACATTTTTTCAAATAAAATTTCATTTAAACTACCTGTAGCTCCTTCATTTTTTTCTGTAGTTGGGCAATCACAGCTTGTTCATCCTCAATTTTACTGTTAAGCTGGGTGATTTCAAAGTCTTTCCTGATGAAAACAATTTGTTTCAGATAAGATACTATCAAAATGTACAGTAATATGTGTAGGATGGAGCAACTTTTGATCTTACTTCTTAAGACGTTCCTCCAGTTGTTGTTTGTCATTTTCGAGGTCCATTATACTTTCTTGGGTCAACTTTAAGTCACCTTCTAGTTTTCTCTTTGCCCTTTCAAGATCCATACGAACCTTCTTTTCTTGCTCAAGAGATCCTTCTAACTGTTGGAAAAAAAAACATAACTTACTAGTCTAAGAACCAGTCTAATCGGTAGCTTGCCATTTTATGCACTTACATCATCCACTTGCTGCTCTAATTTAACTTTGGCTTTAGTGAGGGTGTTGACTTTGTCCTCCTCACTCTGTAGGTCATCCAAGGTTTGTTGATGTGCTTCCTGCAGGGCTTTTTTCTCCTTTGTTAGCTTAGCTATGATTTCATCCAGAGCTGCCATTTCTTCAGTCAGATTCTTCACCTGTAATATCACACATATTGAGAAAATTGGCTTGCATTATTGATATCTGTAAACCAAAAACTTTATTTATAAAGTACAGAAACCTTATTTTCTGTAGCATGCTTCTCCTTCTCCACTTTAGCCAGAGTCAACTCAAGATCATCAATGTCTTTTTTGAGCTCAGAACACTCATCCTCCAGCTTTCTCTTTTTGGCTGTTAGCTCTGCATTAATCTCCTCCTCATCCTCCAGCCTCTCAGTTAGTTCTTTAATTTTGGCTTCCATTTGGATCTTGTTTTTTATCAGCCCTTCACACCTTTCCTCAGCATCACAGAGATTGTCTTGCTCCTGTTTACATAACAAGGGTATGTCAAGACATTAAATACAAATGTTTGGAAATAACAGATTTTTCTTGAAGCACGTTTCAAACATACCGCCTGAACTTGAAGCTGGAGATCATTCTTTTCTTGGAGAAGAGAGACCATTTTCTCCTCAAGTTCTTTCTTACGAGCTTCAGACTTTGCAAAAGCCTCTTTGAGTTTCAAAAACTCCTCTTTCATGTTAGCCATTTCCTTCTCTGCTTCAGCAGACCTCAATAATGGTTTAATCTTAAAAAACAGCTTCATCCATGGCCAATTCTTGACAGCCATGAATGCACGCACATTCCACTGGATAACAAGTAAGGCATCCCTTTTGGGATCAAAGAAACAGTAAATAAACAGGAAACCTTTTAAACAAACTGTAAAGTTTCATGGAAAATGTACTGAAAAAAGTCCTACCTGCGTTCCACCATCTTCTGGTATTCAATTCTTGAGAGAAGGCCACGAGACCTAGCTTGAATTCCTGTGATTATTTTAGATAGTCGCTCATCTCTCATTTCCTCTAACTGACCCAACAGACCTGCTTTGAAAAACACCTGAAAAAAAAACAATATGTGTAATATGCTATTTTTTATCATTTTTCTTTTGGAATGATACATTTCAAGTGACTCAACAAAACTCTTACCTTTGTATGCCCAAACCTATATTGTTGGATATCTATATCAAGTGAAGCCAACAGTTTCTCTGCCCCCTTCCTGCTATCTATGAATTGACCTTCTGGGATGGCAGATGGGTTCAGGATGCGATACCTGTGAAATTTGAGGTAAAAGATTAATAAATGTTCTAAGTAAATGTTATACATTAGTATGTCACTTTGGTGATCCTGTACCTCTGTTTGAAATCCCCATACAGGATTCTGTTGGGGAAACCCTTTCTGCAGATTCTGATGCCTTCCAGCACACCATTACAGCGTAGCTGATGCATAACCAGGGGGTTGTCCATTGCACCAGGAGTCTTGGTCTCATTGGGGATGATGCAGCGTACAAAGTGTGGATGGGTTGAGCGCAGGTTTGTCATTAGCTTATTGAGATTTTCCTGGCAGTTAACAATTTCAATATAATCAGTAAGGGCAGCATACCCATCAAGGAGACATACAATACTGTTTTTCTGTTAGCTTTGGACTTGTAGTCTTGAACATACCCTGTGAAGTGCAGACACTGTCTGGAAAGATGATCCTTTCTTCTTCTTTTCTTTTTTGCCACTAGTAGCATCAGACATAGCTGAAATAATAATGGTATGCATCAGAAATACTGTATATCACACTTTTTTTCAAACATACTTTTTGTTGCCAGCTGTAAACATTGTGGGTGATCCATTTATACATGGGCCAACATCCTGTGGGGGCCATAAGGTCCATATTTCTCCATTCTCCCAAAGATATCCCACTCTACAGATTTTCTATGACAGCATTCCACGAAAGGTATTCTTTTTGTCAGACGTGCTGCAGACAGTTCTCAAGATTTGCGTCCAACAACTTTAAAAGTATACCAAAAGCAGGAACTTGGGAGTACCAATGATTTGAGAGTTTGATGTAGTAACTGTGTGCATGGGCTTAATGACCAGTATTAATGACCTGTATTAATTTTTATTTAGTTCATTTCTGATAAAAGAAATATTAATGCAAAAGCAGTATTCTTTGACATATTCAACTTCAGTCTGTCTGTTAAGATAGGAGGAGAACCACAATGTCTCTTAAAGGATAAAAAACCAACAAGTCAATGTGAGATGCCACATAATTCATTAAGTTAAATTCATGCAAAATCCAACCACTATGGATGGCCTGTGGACAGCAGTTCTTTTAAATCATTAAAATATTTTAGGAAACTACGACATAGTAGTGTGCAGTTGTCCTCATGATTAGATGGCCCATGAAATGCTGATAAACACTACACTGTGTAAAAAAATCACCACAATGCCATGTGTACATTGCACATTTCATATCTTCTTTGTGTTTATAGTGTATATTTAATAGATGGATATTTTGTTTTATCTTTTCTACAATATTGTTCTTCTATTTGACTGCTGTTTCTTATTATCTTATTGCTTCATGTGAGTGGGCAGTTATCCAAGCATTTTACTGCTAATTGTACTGTGTAGGAATATCCATAATTTGTTGCGATTTTCCTCCTTTAAGTGAACATACAGCATAACCACAACAAAAACAGTTGCTAAACACAACAAAAACAGTTGCTAAACATCTATGTATGACATACATGCATGTGAGCAATTCTTTTGGACTGCCAGTTTATGACATTGTGGGTAGGTGATGAATATAAATCTCTAGGAACTATTTAACCTAAAATGTTCATTAGGTTGCGTCCTGATTCTCAGACAATCTCTGGGCCAACGTGGTGTAGCAATCTGGAGCGATGTTGACATTGTCAACAACCAATAGGTGAGGTCAGGGGTGTCTCCTGGCCGGGACTTGCCTTGAATATTTTTTAACCAGCCCTAAACTTTATAATTCTCATCATCCCTGATTTCATTCAGGGTTGCATTCACCCACTCCACAGAGACAAAGAGAGAGAGCGAGCGAGAGAGAGAGAGAGAGAGAGAGAGTGCAAAGGAGCGTTCTGTTAGACTGTGCATAAAGAGGAGAAACTGGTGGAACTGTGGCATGAGCAAGAGTGTCTTTTTGACGTGTCTTCCTATTTATACCACAATAGAGCAGAGAAGGTACAGGGTGGGACAGAAATTACAGTGTCTTGTCTTTTTCTTTTTGGCTGTTTTTTCAGAACACACCACTGCACACACAAGGGCAGCTGTGCCCAAAAGCTGTTTCTGTATCTGCTCTTTGGTTATACAGTATAACAGTTATTCAAATGGTCATGTAAACACCACACTCCGATCTAGAAATCCGATAAAGAGAGCTGGATTTTAGCTCAGTAATAAGATTTCTCAGTGCATGTAAACTCATTCTCCGATTTCAACAGGATTTCTCAGTCTACGCATGCACAAGAACAGACAATGGATGTTGTGACATGGCAGCAAAACACTGTTGGAGCGGTGCTGAAACCAAACACGAAATAAAGAATTTGAATATTTTTCATCTTCTAGATGACATAAGTTCATATCTTCAGGTAAAGTGGCATGATGTTTAAAAAAAAAAAGCCGCGGCATGAAGTTTGAGTTTCACATTATGTTTACGTCACATCTTTCTCTCTGAGTCTATTGGCTGGTTGCAAAGCAGGAATCTGATTTCTGCCTGACTCATGTAGACCCGGAGTTTCCCATTCTCTGATTACTCAAGTGCATGTAAACGTGTTGATCGCATTACTGACAAAATCTGATTTCTGCAGTTATCGGATTATTGAGTGCACGTATACGCACGCATTGTCTTTAGATGTGAGAGTGCCAGACTTCAGTGTTTCAGAGTATTTTCAGTCTTTTCAAGGTCTTCTAGCCTACAGTTAGCATAAGTGTGCCAGCTTTTAGGTCATGTATACAGAATACACATAAATGGTGTATTTACAATTACATTTCCCATGTGAGTATGCATTACTTAAGACATAATTCAAACTCAAAAGCACAACGTGTTTGCATTTGTATTTCTGAGTACAAAACAATTGCCAATTTGAAATTACATTTCTTCATCATCTTGCTCCAGCTCTGCCAAAATTATGCCAAAAAATGTATTCACATCTCTGTGTGCAACTGCATTTTTGCTGTCAACAAGGCACTCTTGTCAAGCAAACGCTGCAGAGGGGACACTGGGGAGGACCTTTTAGTTTGGGGCATACTCGTTTTAAAAGGAAGTGACAAAAAGTCTAAACTTTGGCAGTACTGGCAAATTTAACTCTCACCAATCAAGCTGAGCATGTCAAACGAATTTCCTGTTGGTTTGTGGGGAAGTGATTCTTGATGGATTAGGAGAGCTTATGGCTGCATAAGCAACAACTTTAGTGACAATGTGTTTTCAGTCTTGCGTCAAGTGAGTGACCTGCTTTGGGCAGAGGTTTACAGGACTGCTGGAGGACCTAGATGGCCAATTCCTATTAAGGAGATGCGGGGCCACTGTGGGTTAACCCAGTGTTTCCCAAGCCTGGTCCTGGAGGAACACTAAACTGCACATTTTAATGTTTTCACTGCTCCCAACATACCTGATTCAGCTATTCTGGACTGGGTTTCCTGAGAGCATCTTAGCACAGAGATTACTGTTAAATGGTAGCGTGAGCATCACAAAATGTACAGGCCAGTGTTCTGACAGTTCTGTGAGCTTCTGCCTGAAGGCTGTCAAGTTGTCACCAACGTTGGTGTTTGCAACAGCCACAAGCTTTCCTAATCAAGCATATATATTACAATATTACAAATGGGTGATTTTTTTTCTTTACATGTCATACCATTTAAGACAATGCATATATTGAAGGAACTTCTCCTTAATATGGAATAGCTTTCCATGTTAAATTTTTCCAGCCACTGCACAGAGAAATGCAAATGCAAACGGTTTTGCATTTGATTTTGAATTATGTCTTAAATAATGCACACTCGCATGGTTAATGCAATTGTAAATACACTATTTAAATAGCATTTTTAAATTTTCTTCTGCCTGTAGCTGGAAGGCCAGACCTCCCCTCATAGCTGGACTGATGTAGGACTGTGGAACAGGGAGAAGATGGGGTGGCAGTGAAGACTGAGAAAACTTCGTCCTGGAAACAGAAGGTGACGATGTGAATTTGTAGGCCATTAGATTGGAAGACAAGAGGGGTTTCAGACACTTTCCTCCCCCCAAACCTTGATTATTAAATAACTTCAGTTCAGACCGTGCCATCAGCATGTGGCACGCTTGAGGTAGTGGGGACAACTCTGAGAACTTGGGGGAGTTCCATGTGTCTTCTGCCTGTAGCTAGAAGGCCAGACCCCTATTTGAGCTAGGCGTAATGTGCTAAGCTTTGTATGGTTTGGTAGAGAAATTGAGCCTAGACAGAAAAGAGGCCTAGTTAAGTTGATCCTTTGTATGGTGCTTGGAGTGAGTAGTTTTGCTATTAAGGTAGTAAAATGAGAAAAAAAAGAGCAGATGAATTTGATTCACTATAATGTCTTGGTGGCATGGTGGTCTGCTGCTTAACAGACATCCAGTTCTGAACCCATTGAGTAAGCTGAGGTTGACAAGGAAAAACTACCAGTTAGAAAGAAACCTTGAGAGAAGCCAGAATTCGACAGAGAAACCCATCTTCCTCTGGTCGTCACTGGGTTGTGAAGATTCTCTTAAACATAGCAGGTAAAGGGATTTGATCAGAGTGAAGCAAAATTTATCCTCCTGGATGGAATTAACATGAAACAGGAATGGCTGTTAGAAGGTAGTTGCTGCGTATGGGAGTTGATGGTGTTATGACAGAGGCAGCTGGATGATGCTCTGGTCACTGCAGGAGGTAGTTTGGCATGGACTATCCTGTAGGCAACTACACGTTGTTCAGTTATGATGTTGGATGAGAAACACTAGCTTTAAATTTAGGCCCCCAAAAGGCCAGCAATGGCAAAAGGATATGGCTCCCTGGGATTGAGGGCTGAATGGGAGGAGAGAATGAAGTCAATAGCAAGAAGGAAGTCAAATCAGCAGTGGCAAAGGATCATCTGAAATGACTGAGAGAGAGGTAGGTACCTGGGGGCACAGGCAGCATTTTCACAAATTAACCAATATTAATCCAGTCTGAAGGAAAAAGGAAAAAATGGAGCTGAGTCAAGATGTAGCTGGTCCAAGTTGTAGATGATCCAAGGTGAAGCCAAGGTAAGACAGAATTGCAGTTGCAGAGTTGCAGAGCTAACTGTGTTGGAGCTGATCCGAGACGAAGCTGGTCTGAAATGAAGCTCATCTGACAAGAAGCAGAGTTAAGCAAGAAATGGGTAGCAGAACTGAGTTGTGTTGAAGCTGATCAGAGATGGAGCTGGTCTGAGATGGAGCTAAGTGGAGTCTGAAGTGAGTTGCAGAGCTCACTGTACTGGAGCTAATCCAAGATGGAGCTGATCCGAGATGGAGCTGACCTGAGATGGAGTAGATCCGAGATCCGAGATGGAGCTGAGTGGAATCATAACTGAGTTGCAGAGGCAAACTGGAGCTGAACCAAGATAGGAATGAGATGGAGGCATGAGGGTGAGGGAAGAAAGGGGTGGGAAGAAGGCAGGATGAAAGGGGCAGGGAAGGATGTGGGATGAAGAAGCAGAAGAGGACATGGGATGAAATGGGCAGTGGAGGATGCGGGATGAAAGAGGGGAGGATGAAGGAAGAAAAGGGTGCGAGAGAGATGAGCGATGAAAAGATGAAGAAAGGACTGGGATGAGAAGGGATGAGGTGGGATGAAAAAGGGCCAGGGTGGGATGAAAATGAGTGGAACTAGGAAGACAAAAGGGTCTGAGAGTAAGGGGGGTGTGGGGGTGGTGACGTTGCCATGTGGAATAAGCATCAGCGCAGTCATCTTGTAGGGCGAGCCTCAACGTGGTGGCATCATCAAGCGATTTGCACAGCAGCGTGAGCTGAGGCTCGAGCAATGGCCGCAGAGAGCAAGTTTTGTTTACCTTTGGTGGAGCTGAAAAAGAGTGAATTAAGTCAGCACAGGTGACGCGATTCATCCATCAGGTGCATGGTTGCAGTCCAGTCAGGGGTGCAGTTTGGACGAGACTTGCAGGGGGCCGAGGGTAGGAGCAGAGGAGCGTGATCCGCCGACGTTTGAGAATGCCGCAGCCACACTGGAAGAGCTGAAATTGGCACACAGTGGGAGGGTCCTACTGAGGCCACACTAGCCAGGGCAGCAGGTATGATGAAAAAGGATTTCAATGGGATCTTGATTTGTCTGTATGTGCAGAAGTAGCAGGCACGTGGCCGAGGGGAATTCAGGAGAGAGAGTCGAGGTCTGTGGCAGTGTGGCTCATAGCTGCACTGGCGTCTCACAACTGACTGCAAAAACTTTGTCACGAGAAAGGAAGGTGAAGGTGTGAATTTATAGGGTGTTAGATTGGAAGAAGGAGTTTCAGGGATGTTCCTCCCCTCAAACTACAGTTATTACATAACTACATTTCATTCAGAAATTGATTCCTGCAATACATTCCAAAAAAGTTGGGACAGGGCAATTCAAAATTAGAAATGTCTACAGTGCATAATATAATAAAAAATTAAGGGAATTTAGAGAAATCTCTGTGAGTAAAGCACAAGGCCAAAAAAACAAAAACAAAAAAAAGCAACCTAATGCCCGTAGCCTTTGGCCCCTTAGATGGCACTGCATTAACAACCAACACGTTGTGATGGATATAACCACATGGAACACGCTGTCAATAAATATTGTTCACTGTTGTATCCACAAATGCAAGTTAAGACTGCATTCTGCACACTGAAAGCCTTATGTCAACATTATCTAGAAATGTGCTCAAGCTCATTTGAAACTGATGCATAGTGGAAACATGCAATGTGGTCTGACAAGTCAACCTTTCAGATTGTTTCTGGAGATAACAGTTGTTTTTCCTGTGGCCAAAGAAAAAAATGACCATCCAGATTGTCACTAGCGTAAAGTTAAAAAGCCTGAGTCTGTCATGGCATGGAGGCTATTATTTTGGCGCAATATAATTTGCCTTTAGGCACTGTCTTTTTCAGGGACATCCATGCTTATTTCAACATGACCAAGCCAAGCTACATGTTACAACAGCATGGCTGCATAATCAGAGTGTGCACGTGCTAGACTGACCTGCCTGCAGTCCAGACCTGTCTCCAATTGAAAATGTATGTCTTATTAAGCTGTTGTAATGACAACAAAGACTGAAGAAAATTTTCACTTTCAAAACCGGATCATCTGTGCCTTTAGTCTCTAAATGATTTTTTGAAGTGCTGTTAAAAGGAAAGGTGATGTAACACAGTGTTACATGTAAACATGTTCCTGAATTTTTTGGAACAGGTTTCAGGCATGAAATTTGGAATGAGTGCATATTTTCAAAAAACAATGAAATTCATAAAACATCAAATACTGTGCTTTTAGTTCTGTTTTAATTTAATACAGATCAAACAAAATTTACAAATCACTACTTTCTGTTTTTATTAGCTTTTTATATGCTGTCCCAACATTTTTTTGAAATTGGGCTTTATATTAAAATTAATACATCTCTAATTTAGGTAAGATACTCATACTAAGGCCTATAAACTAGCCAAATAAACTGTTCCAAACAATGATGCCTCCCATCTGAAATCAATAACTTTTTGTTTTCTTTTATGCTTGGAGCAGCGGTCCCCAGTTGTCTCCTATTTATAAATGACTGATTCTCAGCAAGGCAGTGATATCAGCAGTGGTATGGTGCTGTGTGTTGTGTTGGTAAAGGCACAGCAGCATTACTCGTGTTGATTTAAGAGGCTTTTAAAACCTTTAAAATGTTTTATGTCTTTTTGTGCTGAAATTGTTGGCATTACTGCAGAATGACAAAAAACACTAAAAAATCACTTGATAGAATTACAAACTATTCTGAGGTTTGAATTTGGCAGAAAATGTCAATGTTTATGGAAGAAATACTATTATTATATAAAACGTTTATTATTAAATAAATGCTATTAACATAATTATTATTACTATCAAAATATTTAATATTATTAGAATTAAAACTAATAGGAAATTAACGTGCATAGTCATTTTGAATGTGGTTGGTTTTTCATGTGGTCAATTCTCCTAAAAAATAATTTATCAAAACCGGAAGAATCTTCTACTCAAAAATAAACATCTTTTTGTTTAACATACCTGAGTCTGCACCAATATAGTTTGCAAACAAGTAAGCCAGTAGCTTCAATGAAGATTTCTGGTATAGTCCAACCACAGTTTCATTTAGTGGATCCTTGTTCTTTACGAGCCAGTTGTTGATGTTGTAGTCTACAGTGCCAGCATAGTGAACCAGGGCAAAGTGAGCCTCTGCCTTGCCCTTTACGATCCTTGGTTTCTGGAAGTTGCTGGATTTCCCTAGGTGGTTGTCATAAAGCTTTGCTTTGAAGGTGGCATCTGTGGCTTTGGGGAACATGCATTCCTCTTCAAGGATGGACATGATACCCATGGGCTGAAAAAATATGAACTGGGTATGTCAGTGGTGATCTCAAACATAATATTTCTACACAAAATCATAGCACAAAGAGTAAAACTACAGTATGGATGCTTCAAGCCTCTGAAATTACTAATGACTCACCTTCTCAATCAGGTCAATACAGGCCTGCAAATCCATGCCAAAGTCAATGAATTCCCACTCTATACCTTCTTTCTTGTACTCCTCTTGTTCCAGCACAAACATGTGATGGTTGAAAAATTGTTGCAGTTTCTCATTCGTAAAGTTAATGCAGAGCTGCTCAAAGGTGTTAAACTGTAAATGAATTAATAAATTACATGATTTTAGAACTTCTTATATGTCATTTGAGTACACAATATGATAATTTACCTAGACAGTACATTTTAAACAGACTACATGAGAGTGACAGCCCAGAATTACAACCACCCTAAAATTTCCAAGCTTTTACTTCCTTTTTGCTCAAATTTAGTCTGGCTTTTCCAGCACAGTATATATTTCCACTATACTCATTTTACATAAATTAAACCTGTTAATTTTGTATTTGTAAGAGTTCAGGTAGCATGGCTGCAATATACAGAATGCTTAAATCATACATTATTACATGGCAACAACATACAATAGCTATACATGTAGCTAAATAACTATAAACATTTTTGAGAGCAAACTGTGTTTTCTAGGCACTCACATCAAAAATCTCAAAGCCAGCAATGTCCAGTACACCAATGAAGTACTGCCGTGGTTGCTTTGTTTCCAGGGACTGGTTGATTCTTGCTACCATCCAGACGAACATTTTCTCATACACGGCTTTGGACAGGGCGCCAACAGCATAATACACCTGAAAGAACCAACATATTCATAGTTAAAAGAGATTAACTATACAGGATTGTACATGTTGAATGATTGTAAAGTGTTTTACCTGTTGGACATTTTGTCCTTTGGTCACCCACTCATTTCCTACTTTCACCCGTGGATGACACAAACCCTTAAGAAGCTCAGCAGAGTTCAGGCCCATTAAATAGGCAGCTTTGTCTGCATCTGGAAAGTTGTGACTCAGTATTTAAAGATTACATATGACGGGTAAGATGGTCTGTTATTATTTGTCTGCTTAAATTTGTGCTCACTCTTGTGAAATGCTTTTTACCTTCAGTTCCATCAGGTTCCGCCTGCTCTTCACGCTGCTTCTGCTTGAATTTCATATTACCATAGTGCATAATAGCTCCAGTTAGTTTGTACACTGAATTTTTTTCCTCTTGTGTGAAGCCTAGTACATCAAAAGCATTCTGTAAATGAAACATTTGAAGGAAATATTAGTGGCCTTCTAGCCCTGAGCATTGAAAAAAGGTAAATAAAATAAATCCAATGTTAGCAAGATTTTTCATCCTATATAAGGTTGTGTCTTTCAAACGGACAGGCAGAGCCATAGTTTCTAAGGGGTTAAGATTAGGATTAGTGCAGATGAAGTAAAATATTTGAAGTACATTAAGGAAGAGAATACTTTTATGCAATTATTGTTAATTAATCTAGTTAGGTGCCTCCAACCCAGTTTCCATTCAGTTGTGCTCAAAACTAGAGACTTACATCTGTTGCCATTAACTCATCAGCATCATTGATAGAAGCAACTGTAGTTTCTCCCTGAGAGATGAATGCATAGTCATAGGGGTTTTGTGTCACCAGTAGCATCTCTATTGGACATAAAGAGGTGATTTATCTTCGTGTAAATAAATACATTGATTTCAATGTTGTGCATCTTTATTTAGTATATATACTAACCAAGTATCTCAGGTTTCTTGTTTGACAAGATTTGATAGAAAATGTGATAGTCTCTCTCTGCCTTGAGCTGAAAGATCACACGAGACTTTTCCAGAAGATCTTAACAATAAAAATAAAACAAACTATGTTGAATTTTCCAGTAAATGCTTCCAACTACATGATACATTTACACACTTTCTAATATTCACCAATTTCCCATCTTTATCCAATGTACGCAGTTTATTTGGTGAAGTACAGCAGCCAGCATGATTTGGTAATAAGCTGAAAAAGACTTGCTTTCTTTGAGATGCAACTATAGGCTACAGTTCATAGATTCATATATTCATACAGTTCATATTAGTCTATAGTTTCTGGCCCTGAATAAAACAAACCCCAAGTATCATTTAGAAAAATCACCTTCAGTATGAATACCACTTGTCTGATATACTGTGAATGAAATGTGAAGTCTATTGACTGTTTCTTATATACATTTTATATCAAAATGAGAGGAAAACACATTGAGTTTTTATACAAACTGTAAAATAAGATGACATTTTAAATAGGTCATCTGAATGCATTTAAGTCATAACAAAAATGAAACTAAAATAAGTATAATATAATTCTGGAGGGGTGAAAAATAACACACATGTTTCAATGTCAGCTGATGCCAGTTTCCCTCTGGTATCAAAGTGGATTCTGATGAACTTACCCTGAGGGGAAAGATTAACAACAGAAAAGCTTTAAGATTTTAAATTTAAACATTTGGATTAGTGCATGTATATTGGTTTATTGTAGACTAGTGCATGTATGTTGGTAAACACTCCCTCACAAATCTGGAAGAATTATCATTTCTGATAGTCTTGGCATTGCCAAAAGCCTCCAGTGCAGGGTTAGCTTGGATGATTTGATCTTCCAGAGTCCCCTAGAAAATGTAAGCATAGCCGTTAAATTGTACAAGAAATCATGAAATTATTATTTTGTACATGCACCTTTCTAGACAATAATAGGTTTTATATAATATTTAATATTTGTTAGTAGTAGTCAGTGTAACATAACTATCCTTTTGTGATTGTTATGATAAATGAAAACCTTATTTTGAGCAGCTGCATCCTTCTTTGTGCCACTTGCTGCAATGCTGGCAAAGTACTGAATGACTCTCTTGGTGTTTACGGTCTTCCCAGCACCAGATTCTCCACTGTAATCCAAGTAAAAAGGATGTTGGGAACAATTTATAAATAATGTTCGTTAATTAGCACTCACCTACACAGTAGCAAATATACTGTTGTTGTTACTGTTGTTGTTTCCTAGTTAAGAGTGTGTATATGTGTTTTGCTTGTGTTTATGTGTTGAGCTGTAGGTTCTTTGGTGTGGGCTCTTAGTCACCACAGGGAGTTCTATGGCTGGGGGTGACTTCCCCGCTACTTCATGCTTCTGTATGTGCCTTTTCTGCTAGTTCAAATAAAGATCACTTCTTGTAGTGGGAATCAATGCCTTTCTCATGTTTACTTCTTTGCCAAAATACTACAATATAACTGGTACATTGACTTTTTAACTGTATGCATATCAACTGAAATATTATAACATACAACAGTAAAGTTTTACAGTTTGTTATTCTCGCCATACGTCAAATACCCTAGTCAAGTGAGATTATTAATAAAGAAGAGTGTTTTGTGGAATGTTAGCTTATGTGAGTTACCGGCATTGTTCTAGAGCTTAAGCAAACTGGGCTATTAAATTTAATCAAGTATCTAAACACATCATACATGCCTACATGTGAAATCAGCTTAAAGCTCTACACCACAGCAAAATCATTCACCTACTTTCTTCTTGCCTCAGAGCAGGTCTATTTAAGACATGTAGGAAGTATATGTTAACAATGCTCCTTTTGTGCATAACCGCTATATAGCTCATGAGCGATACCAGGGGCGGGCTTACAGAGCTTAAGCCCTGAATGTTGCTAGCAAAAATCTTTTTTCACCAGTCACAAGGCATGCCCTTTGCACTCTCAATCAAACCCTTTGTCAAATAAAAATGTTCAGAACCCGATACGTTTTGTCCTATGAACATTCTTCTCTCGAATATCACTGGATCCTCTGAATTACTAGGTCGTTAAAGAGTTGAAATATGAGTATTGCTACTTGTAAGCTAATGCTACTGCACACTGAATTGACATCATTAGCCTGGCAGCCTCCTTAAGCACGCTTTGTCAGTGTACATTTCCATGTACAGACTGAGGGCAGATGAAAAGAATACAGAACAAAAGAAGCAGGTTCTTTGTTCTTCATCTGATACTCACTGAAACACGATAGCTCTTGCCGTTTTGTTTGTAGCTTGATTTGAAAAGCTTTACAAACTTACCTGCACTCAGGCTAATTCAGTACAGATTCAGCTTAATATTACTGCTGACCCCCTGGTAAGCTGATTTAGGCTCTCAAAATATCCTAATTATTATCCTAATCAACTTTTTTCGTTCCACCTTAAATGTGCGGCAGTTACATTCTGAACTGCTGCGGCATTTAAGGTGGAACGGGAAAAATCGAACAAACAGCCAGCAAAAAAGAAGCTTGGAGGGTTGAAAGGCATGGCATGAAAAAGGCATGGCATGGCATATTTCCGCTTGACAGCTAAGTAACATTAACTTATTTTTGCTGTTTCACAGAACCAACAGGTCAGTATTTTGTCTCGTTTGCTAATGTTTGTGATAGCTAGCTAGTCACAGCTGCTGCTCCAAGGTGGAACATTCAAACAAGAAGCTGGCGAGAAAGAAGCTAAATTCAAATTAGTATTTTTTGATGAGGAGTTTTAGCCTATCAAAATATTCTATCCAGAGGTTTTATTTATGGGTATACTTTAATTTATGGGTAAATGTGCGCTACAGTAGAACATTTCGATAAGGTAGCACAACTTGTCAGAGCACCGCCACAGCCTGCCTTAGTTTCTTGTAGCTTTGTGACATCACATTGATGCACAGTAGCTTTAGCTCACATGTAGCAATATTAGTATTAAGGCTCTTTAATAACCTTGTAATTCAGAGGATCCAGTGGTATTCAGGAGAAAAATGTATACAGGACAAAACGTATCGGGTTCTGAACATTTTTATTTAACACAGGGTGCGACAGAGACATTTTTCGAAAACCCTATTCATTCTGGCCATAGAGAAATGGAGCTTAGACCTGGAGTTCCTAACATGGGCATAACAAGGATTACAGAATGACACATGACTACAGTAGTCCATGGAAACAGTTTGCGAACACAGATGCTTTGAGCTACACAGATGGGGTTTCGGGTGTAGTTGCGTGCAAAAATGTGTCACAACGCATTTCATAACACAACATAAGCGCAAGCTGCATTCTAAGCATTACAGCAAAGGGTGGTATAACGACAGCCAAGACTGTCCAAGCGATCTTCTGCCGGTGTGCCGTGGTAGACCAGCAGGTGAGACTCACGCAAAGATGGCTTAAATAGACTTAAAAATATGATACATTATTGCCTTTCCATTACAGGAGACGAGGTAAATCAGCTCACTCTTCTCTACTTGTCCACGTTTAGCTGTTGAGGCTATTGGAATAACAGTAGATCCCTCTCTGATTTGTCCTCTATCTCACCCTTCAGTACTGCTTGTTTTAAACATCACAGTAACACAAGAACACAGGGCACGTTTGTTGAGAAGGACCGAGCGTTTGCAATGCACTGGTCGAGCGCTGTCATTTGCGTTTGTATGATTCTGGCCTTAGCTTTCACTTCTTGTCAGTGTAAGTTCCTTGTTGCTACCTCTAATTTGCTTGGCTGCAAACGATGAAACTGCCGCTCGCTTCCTGAACTAAGCATCAACACAATGAAAGCAGGCTTCATAATAAGAGTGTTTGTATAAACAAACACAGAAAATAACTGCAGCAGAATAGATAATCCAGAATAAACTGGATTAATTTTAAAATTAACTAATGCCTTCCGGGTTTCTCAAACGCCAGAGGGTGCTCCCGAGCGAGTCCAAAATGAATGTGTTAGATAGAGCATTAGAGCAAAATCATAGTTTATAAATGCTTAAACATTTTTAACGTGAAAGAATACAATCATTTCGTGAACACCGAATAGCACAAAACATTTAAACACCGCTATTATATTTTTGAACACTTTTAAACTCGAGTTATAGGAATTTAAAGCGGTGCCTATGTCCATGACGTCAGTGAGAGTGAAGAGCCAAGGAGCTGCTCCACTCGCCAACCAATCAGCGCTCAGTAGCAGTAATGCTAACGGCCTTGCTGCTCAAAACCCATTTGCTGTACAAAAAAAGGAAACATATAGGTAAGTTTTATTTGCTTTTTAGTACAGTAAATCCTTCTACTTTCTAAAATTAAAGGAAAGTCCTGGGCAAGTGATTAAAAAGCATTTTAACTTTTCGTTTTAGCGTTTTAGCTCTATTTACTCACATTCATTGAGGCCTTGCTCACGGGCGCCCTTTTTTGCAGTCATGTGCTGACCTCAGCCTTGTGACTTTTTAGTGTTTGACAGTTTCTCATTGCAGATTAAATGTATCTGGAATCCACCTCAGTGATTACATGCAAATAAGAAAATGTCTACAGTGGTGCTACGGATGCTGACGACCCAGCACGCCCCCCTGCTGGGATGTGCATGTGTTTAGCTTTTTGCCACTTCAACTAGTTTATTGTTATCAAGCTAACATGGCTTATCTATCATTTTGGTTATAGTTATTTTCACTTCCATCAATTTATCACTATATGGATGTTAGCTGATGTTACTGTACTTTGATAGCTGTAAAAGAGCTTTTCCATGAATCAATAATGTCCTTTATTTAGTTTGGACTCCCACATTGTTGTATGTTTGGCTCTCCAACAGCTCTGGACACATCCTCAAATTTCAATCTTGGCAACTATGACACAGATACAGTGACACACCTTTCTGTGGTGAGCTGAAGTGATAGGAATGGCAGTGTTTCTGAGGTTAGTAACTGTCTGTAAAGCAATAGCGGAACTTATTTTACCCAGCATTTATGCACTTCTGTTTCTTGTCAAAAGGGCCTGTTCTCCTCACTGCAAGTTCTCTGAAAAAACGCGTGGCAACGGCTTTGAAAACAGCTTGCAGTCTTAAGTTTCTCCAGCAGGGAGATCACAACGCAAATCACCATGATGATTGACATCTAGCTACAACCAGAAGAAGCTCATGAACGCGTGTGCACGTCTATTATAACGACAGGTAGTTTATTGGGTTATTCAGTATTGTATTGTTTAATATGTGGTTTTATTTAATATTTTCATGCAATAGTTAATGCGCAAAAAGCACATACAGTAAAAATACAACTGAAACTAGGTGAAAGCTAATTTCATTTGTTTCGCTGCAGCGGACTGACGTTACGTGTACTTGATGAGGGGGTTCGATGTTATGGACAATCACGATTTTTAACTAGAAAATATCGTGCTAATTATTTTTAGATTTCAACAAAACATACAGAAATCTGGCTATAACTTAACCTTGGGTAGCTGCTACAAGGCTGCAATTTTAGGTTCAGGAAAAGGATTTTGTTTAGAATCTCCCTCTTCAGGTTCATATAAGTAAGACTGCGTTGACTTAATCCGATTTCCAGCTTGCTCCATACTGAGGTGCCTACACCTTAGATTTCTGTTTGTTAGTTAATCAGAGGTTTTGCATTTCAACTATATCGTTAACGCAAAAGTGAAGTCAGCTTCTTGTTCAAAATTTCCCGTTCCACCTTAAATGGTCCAGCAGGTGTTATGACTGCTGCGCCATTTAAGGTGGAACAGGAACATTCGAACAAGAAGCTGGTGAATAGGAAGCAAACTTCAGCCTCATGACGTGATACTGTGAATTTGGAACTCCAAAATGATCTGAATTCGAGCTGGATGAACATTATAACGTTGCTGGCATGTTATCTCCATTTTTTGGAGGGTGCAGGTGCCCTACAGACAAGGCGGTTAGGGATCTCGGTTAACGTTAGCTAACGTTGACGTAAGATTAGCAAGCTAAATTAGATAACAAAATTAGCTAAAGTTAGCCTGCACATTTTTCTACATTCTCATTGCTAGCTACATTATTGAACAAACTGTCATACGAAAACCGTGAATGTTATTTAAAAATAAAGATTTACCGCCGTGTGATTCACACTGCCTCCAGCAAGCGTCAGGAAAGCTGTTCGTTTCAGCTCGAGTCGGCTGGCAAATCTGGAGCCGTATTAAGCCCTATTCTCAAAGGAGTCGGCAAAGCAATGCCTGCTACAAGCTCTGTGCTGGGTGTCACTTCAACCCCAGGCAGAAATTTGAGCCATTTTGGAATAGAATGTAGAGAGCAACCATTCTCCCTCTTGCATCCAAAAACTTCTGTTAATTCCTAAACGGTGGGTAGGGAGCAGTATGCAAAAAAGTTACAAATGTTGAGGTAATTTGGACTCCTTACGTTAAACTTTCATATGGGGGATGTTTCTAAGGTGGCGGAGTGAGTAGTAAAACTTTTCGCAGGCTCAGAAATCTTTCTAGTTTAAAGCAGTAATTGCAGTCAGAATTTGCGAAAGTTGTGCTAAACTATTACGATCACTTTTTATTCTCACGTTTAAAAGTTAAGACTATTTCCGCTTTAATCCGTTTTTTTTTAAGTTGGTCTAATCAGCATGGCTAAGCAGGCTAATTTAGCGGACACTGGGAAGATGTCCCCTACTCCCCTGACCAGCTTGAAAACACAGCTGACACCGTGCGTCGCTTGGGGAAAAATGGGAAAAGGAAGGCTACCGAAGCAAAGCATTTTCCAAATGCTTTTAAAACGGCCTTGGTGAAGCCTCTGCAAAAAAGAGTAGCATGGATCCTTCCATACTAAATTATTTTAGACCAATTTTAATCCTGCCTTTTTTAAGTAAAGTCTTAGAAAAAGTTGTTTTCAATTAAATGTGTATCTAATATCAAACAAGTTATATAAGAATTTTCAGTCAAGTTTCCGTTCTAACCATAGTACTGAGACAGCATTGGTTTGTGTTGTGAATGACCTCAGGCTCAGCGCTGGTGCGCAAAATCCTTTTATTCAGTTTTAGAATGGTTTAAATCATTTCATATTCACATTAAATCATAAATCAATGGGAAATCATTAATGAAAAAGATTTGGCATTTCTTGTGGAGTCCCTAAGGGTCAGTTTTAGGGCCTTTGTTTTTTTCTTTGTACATGCTATCACTAGGTGATGTCATTAGGAAACATAATACAAATTTTCATAGCTATGCTGATGACACCCAGTTATACATTTTTATTTCTTCTGATGATCAAGACGCTGTAAACAGACAGCTGTGTCAGATATTTCTCGTAAAATTAAATCACGAAAAAACGGAAATACTCGTCATTGGAACAAAAACTCAAAGAAAGCTGCTTTATGAGAAAATAAATGACCTTACATCACAGAGTGTCTGTTTATGTTCCAGCATGTGATCTTAAATCTGCAATACTGGCCTTCTGCTAATACCTTCTATAAAATACAGAAAACATGGAGAGGTCTTGTTCAGTTATTATGCTTCTAAACTGTGGAACTTGATTCCACCTTTTATTAGACAATGAAGCTTGGTGCACACTTTTAAGAAGCATCTAAAAACATATCTCTTTAACTTAGCATTTAAGTAAAACTCTACGTCTCATGGTATTTATTTTTTATTTTTATCTAAATTAATATTTAGGATTTCTTATATTACTGTATTACTGTTAAGCTTTATCACATAATGCTGTTTAAACCTGTTAAATCGTGAGATGATTTTGTTTTTCTTTGAAATATGACTGCATGATTATTTAGGTTAAACTACGAGGTTTAATGATTAACATGCCCTGCGTCTGGTTAGAGATACAGTTCTTTCTTAAATCACTAACTCTAATTCACTAATTTTTTTGTTATTTTTAGAAGCATAAGAAGTATTAGAAATTATGTTAAACGCAAAGCATTTTTTTCTTTGTAAGGAACAATCTAAAGTCAATTCTTTTTTTTTTTTTACTCATTTTACAGTCGCTGAGGTCAAATTTTGGAAGTCTTTTTGGAAGTGGTGTGCAGAAGCATAACTTTGTCATGGTTCGTCACGTTCAGCAGAGGTCACTTTTCCATGCAAGAACTTGGATGGTAAGATCATCAACTTCAAAAGTGATATCGAGGGTCACTGAATCATGGTTATTCTTGAATTTAGCCATGGTAACTCTGTGCTTGTAAATGTCAGTGGTCACACAAACAGGACCAATAATAGTAGATTGTTTCATGATCTGAGTTCCCTAATTGATGTTTGGAAAAACACTTATTGTGTAGATAAAATTATAGTTGGAGGGGATTTTAATGCATTTTAACTCACATTCCTTTAACCCTCTAATATCTAATTTTGCTATGGCCCTGAATTTAGTTGAGGTATGGCAATTTAATAACCCTCATAAAAAGCAGTTTACATGGGATCATTTCTCAGGGCATTCTCATCACTTTAGGCTGGATTTTTGGCTAACAACTAGTAATCTTGTTTCCTTTGTCTTTTGACTGTGGCATTTTTCCCTCTCCTTTAACTGATCACAGTGCTACTTTATCCATTAGAAGGTCCATTGGCTTTAAACCTTCCAGATTCCACTGGACATTTAATAGTAATGTGCTGTCTGTTACCCAACAGTGACCTCTAGTGGTTATTTTTATAGCAGTTTGCCTTAAGTTTGTACTTAAGTTTATTTTGTAAAAAACTTTGTAAGTTTGCCTTTGAGTACAATGCTACAGAGAAGCAACATTTTTCCAAGCTAAACTTCTATTGTTAGGTCGTGAAAGGCTTATGTCTGTGAGTAAATATCTTTATTTTCTTAACAAGATAGTTTTCTTACGTACCTCCTTGTGAAAAAATAGCGAAGTGTGTGAAGTAATCACTAAATTCATGTCGTAGAAAATGGCGCTAATTTGTTAGCATGTCTAGGAGAATTTCCATTCATATTAGCATCAAGCTAAATACTGTTATTTTGATGGCGATTCTTGTGCATTCTTACATCCTAGATCCTTTGTACAAAGTATAGAGTTATTTGGTAATATGTATTGCAAAGCGAACTCGACACATGGGTGTACTGTAATGCATATTTCATTTGTTTCAGTTTTACAGTGCTTCTTCTGAGTAAACATTCCTGTCGTTAAAATTTGGCCTCTTGGAATTCTTTGGAAGAACCTGTTATCTATCTGCCGAGCTAGCAGGCACGAACACTACAACATTTTAGCAGAGGCAGAATAAGTAATTTGTTTAAAAGTAGTTCCTTCTGTAATGATGTTTACTCTCTGATACATGAGGTGAAAAATACAAAAGAATTAGAAAAAAGAATGAAATCACCAGTCAGTAAATGCTAATGATTTAAATTTAAAGTGAAAAGACTGGCAATAAAAGAAGGTAAACTGCTAGCACTGGTGAGAAAAAGTGTATTTAGTGTATTTAGATGAGGAAGAAAATAAAGAGTTCTATCTTTACTTCTTCTCATCTTTCTTCCTCCTTTTGCAGACAGAAATGGACAAACTATACAGAGATAAGGCCTTCACATTATCCAAAGCATTATGGATGGAAGAGGGAGAGAAAAACACATCCTATTTTTATTAATTTAGAAAAACAAAGACAAACCAAGAAACCAAACAATACGTTATTCATAGAAAATTTGTGTAAGTGACAGTGGTGGACAAAGTACACAAACCATGTACTTGAGTTAAAATAGGGATACCCAAGGTAAAATATTACTCCAGTAAAAGTAGAAGTCCTCCCTTTAGACCTCCACTTGAGTAAAAGTACAAAAGTATTTGCTTTCAAATGTACTAAAGTATCGAAAGTAAAAGTACTATAAGATTAATTATGACTCTAATGTCCTATTACCATTTTTGTAAGAAGACTCTTGCTTCATTAACTCATTTTAGGTGAAAATACTCTAGTGTCACTCTTGGTAAACCAGTCTTTTAATAGAATGTCATTAATGAGTCTGTCACTGATGTCTGTTAAAATAATCATAAGCACAAAACACTGAAGGCAAACAATTTCCCTTAGGTAGAACCAAGTGGCTATGAAATAACTTGTTGCGAGCAAGCAAAGTTTCAGTTTAAGATCTCTCAGATCAGGTCTCTGTTCATAAACATAAACTAACAAAAACAAATTTAC